ACTTCGTCCAGGAGCTCACAATTAGCCCGCGCAGGCATGGAGTGGAACCAACTGGCCATTCTTGGTTAATTAGTCGTCATCAGCCTTGTCTCCCTTGTATTTGTCGGTTCCACTCCATCCTATTCTACTAGTTGCTGGGCTCTGAAGTGAGCTTCAGGGCAAAGCCGGCACGTACATGTTCAATCGGTGAAACACCTAAATTCATTCATCATATTCCCGATCTCAACCGGCAAAGCAACGAGCCCGTGGTGTAATGGTAGAGTGTTAAACTCAATGACCAGAGGTCACGGGTTCGAATCTTGGGGGTTCCAACCCTTGGGATTGGGTATGACTGGCTAACAAGCCAGAAATGGCCGTTCCGGTCTCCCTTGTCTTTGGCAGTTCTATTCCATCAATGCCTGAGGTCGCTAAGCGACAGCCTGAGATCACCCAAGTACGAGTTTCAAGGCACACCGGGACAATTATATGCCCTAATCAGGTAGATCGGATGAACACCCCGGTTCCATCATATTCCCGATCACAACCAACAAAGCAACGAGCCCATGGTGCAATGGTAGAGTGGTGTACTCAATGACCAAAGGTCCCGGATTCGAAACACAAGTGACTGGCTGATGATGACTAATAAGCCAGAAATGGCCATTCCGGTCTCCTTGTCTTTGTCGGTTCCACTCCTACTGAACCGGTAATATAACATTGCTGAAACACCTTAGCATTATCCTTCATACCTCCGCCCCCCACCCCCAACTCTGTTCTTATGGTTCCCGCTTTTTGTCCCAGGATCTGCCAGGTTGTCGAAAATCTGCTCTCCTTCATGGGTCACCGACTGGGTGGGCTTTCTCCCTCCCCTACTGAATCCTCGAAGCCCTCACACAGGCCCGAGACCCATGCTCCAACCCTCTTCCGTATTGGTCTGCTGATGATTGCGATAACCTGCAACTTGACCGCCCCCACCACCACGGATGCCAAGCGACCCTATTCAAAGCAGGTGAAGGTTGTACGCAAGACGGGTCTGGCCCTGTTGCTTCACCTTATCAATGCTCCCGGTATTGACACTGAGGCCTTTTGGACAGCCGAGCGGGTTGAAAACGTACAGCGCGTAGTCATACAGCCTTATCTGCCCCAGTTCAGTCAGACTGCGGTTGCCTCTCCTGGCCACCTCATTATTTGCCTCTCTCTGGCCTGCAGTCAAAAGGTCCACCTCACCGCCAACTTTCTCTCACAAGACCTGCTGACGGAGTTGATGAAGCTGCTACTGCACCCCAAAGTCTCCAAACAGGTGACCCGGAACATCATCGAAATTCTGTGGAACATGATTTTCCTGCCAGGTGAGTGAGTGAGTGACAGCTCTAGTCAGCTCTAGCATTGCAAGTGCACAACACAGGAGACAAAATGCATTCTACGCAAAAAGTTCTTGTAAATATTGCCAAAAGCTATGGCTTGCGCCGCCCCGAGACGCTTTGTTTCAATCC